ATATTTAGCAAATACTCAAACAATAGCAACAAAGGAAGTGATAACAAGATTCAGAAACAAAACCAGCTCAGCATAGAAAATTATATGGAACAAAGAAATTGACACCACAAAAAAGCACATAACAAAATGAGAATAACAAATTCATATTTGTCAATAATTACACATCTGACAAGGGACTTATCTCTAAAGTTTATAGAGAACTCCAACACCTCAACAACAAAAAGATTAATAATCCAATTAAAAAATGGACAGAAGACATGAATGGACACTTCACCGAAGAGGACATTCAGGTGGCCAGCAAATACATGAGGAAATACTCATGATCATTAGCCATCAGATAGATGCAAATCAGGGCAACAATGAGATACCATCTCACCCCAGCACTAATGACAAAGTTCAACAAGACAGAAAATGGCAGATGCGGGCAAAGATGTGGAGAGACTGGGACTCTCATACACTGCTGGTGGGACTGTAAAATGATACAGCTACTGTGGAAAACAGTATGGCAATTCCTTAAAAAGCTGGAATTAGAAATACCATTTGACCCAGCAATCCCATTACTAGGAATATATCCTAAACAAGTGAGAGCCAGGACAAGAACAGATACATGCACATCCGTGTTCATCACAGCACTATTTACAACAGCAAAAAGATGGAAACAACTTATGTGCTCATCAACAGAAGAATGGATAACCAAACTGTGGTATATACACACAATGGGGGAATACTATGCAACCCTGAAGAATAATGCAGAAACTGCAAAACTCCACATAACATGGATGAACTCGGAGGACATTATGCTGGGTGAAAGAAGTCAATTACAGATGGACAAATGTAGCATTAGTTCATTATTGTAAAAAGTCAAGGATATATGGAAAGAAACTTTCTTTGTTGGTTACCAGGGATGGGAGAGAAGGGGAGGGAACAGTGTAAAAAAAATGCATTGACCCATGTCACTTTAGTTTTGTTTATTTCACTGTACATAAATTATATTTCAATAAAATGCATTTGGAAAAAGAAAAACAAAAAAACAGGAGTGGAGTGCATCTTTGGACCCAAGAGCCCTCCACTGAAATAGCGAGAAGCAGTGACAGAGAAACCATTGTGGACAAACTGTGGCAGTAGCCCCTGGCAACAGACTCTGACAGCAGATCTTGGCAGTAGATTGGCATAACACAGAGTGGTGGGCTTCCCAACATATGGAACAGGGCTTCGGATAGAAGGCTTGCTGACAGAGTGGGATGCTTCTTTGGGCATGTATCAGCAGAGTTAAAAGAGCTTTGTAACATTTTCCTGAGCAGAGCAGAGGCCAGGCTGAGGGCCAAAGAGAGGTATGTCTTAGGCATTGCTGAAGGAAGGCTGTCCTGATTGAAGAATTGTATCCTGAGTGTTCATGAACCTGAATTGTAACCTCCTACTACCCTAATGAACCCCATAATTGTGAGTATTGTCTGTGAGGTCTGTGTGGCTATTGCAACAAATTGTCAAACCCAGCAGAGAAGTAGAAAGTGCTGTGGGAGGGATGGGTGAGGTCAGAATTGGTAAAAAAATTTTGAGGGTGGAAGCATGTCTGACCTCTGCCTCATAGGAGTCAGCCTTGGGCTATTGATGCTGATGGTGATTCTTTTTCCCCCTCAAGGAAGTTTTATGAAGCCAGATACCCCTGCCTCCACACTATTTCTGTAACTTTTATTTCATTATTTTGTATTGAATTGGCTAGAACTCCTTGAATGCTATTAAATAATTACAGTGCAAATTTCTGTTCTTATTTTTTCCTTTTTGCCATTTATGGATTAAAGATAATAACATTAAAGATAATATTTTAATTGTCATTCTGAATATCTGAGAAATAAGCGAGCTCTGGTGGCATAGTGGGTAACACATTTGCCTGCCAAAAAGAAGGTCAGGGCTTCCAACCCACCAGCTTCTCTGTGGCAGGAAGATGAGGCAATCGACTTCCTAAAAATTTACTGCCTTGGAAACCCAATGGAGGTCTCTATGAGTTGGACTTGACTTGATATCAGTAGGTTTGGTTTGGTTTATCTCAGAAATAATGTGAGCAATATTACTTGGAAAATATGCAAAATGTAAAGTGTATTTGATATCAATCAGTGCTATCAAAGAGGGTTATTTTAAAAAATATATGTTTTTGTTTATAGTACCAAGTTCAGTGGTGGATGTTGTTGCATGTTTTTGAGTCTGACCTGACTTATAGCGACCCCTCCGTGGGTTTCTGAGGCGGTATCACTACGGAAGTAGATTGCCCAATCTTCCTTCCAAAGAGTGGCTGGTGGGTTTGAACCACAGCCTTCTGGTTAGCAGTTAAGTACCTTAGGCACTACGCCACCAGAGCTCCTTCACTGGTGGATACAGACCAGATATTTAAAATGTACTTGTTAACTGACACTAACTAGAATTGCCCCAGTCCTCTCTCTGTGTGTGTGTGTGTGTGTATGTGTGTGTGTGTGTGTGTGAGAGAGAGAGAGAGAGAGAGAAAGAAATGTCTATAAATATTTGTTTCATATCATGGAGTCAAGTGGTTAAGTAACCCTGGTGGTACAATGGTTAAAGTTCTTGGCTGCTAGCGGTTCCTTAAGAAAAAAGACCTGGCAATCTGCTCTCATGAAGAATACAGCCTAGGAAATTCTATGGAGGGAGTTCTACTCTGTTCTAAAGGGTCACTATGAGTCATAATCCACTTACCAGCCCACAACAGCAACAGGAAAGTGGTTTATGTTCAATATAGCATTTATTAATTTTTTTTCTTTTCATTTATTAAGGATTTTCTGTCAGGCAATAGGTGTATTTCAATACAAAAGACACAATCTGCCTGGTGCTTAAAGACCTTAGGCTATTCTTCTTAAACTAATGTGATAAATATTGTTATAAATGGGAATCTCTATTTCTTACATGGGAGCTCTGGTAGCATAGTGCCTAAGGCACTTGACTGCTAACCAGAAGGCTGGGAGTTCAAACCCACCAGCCACTCCTTGGAAGGAAGATGGGGCAATCTACTTCCATAGTGATACTGCCTCGGAAACCCAAGGAGGGGTCGCTATGAGTCGGGTCCGACTCGAGGGCACATAACAACAACAACAACAACAACATTTCTTACTTGTTTCAGCAAGTGTACAAAATTTTATGTTTACAAAATAGTTCATAATCTCTACTCTGTTATGAATTAAATTGTGGTGATTAAGTTAGTATGTCAACTTGGCTGGGTCTGGTTGAGTGGCTGGGCAGCTGGTGATTATGGGGTTATTCCCCATCATGAGACTGGTAATCAACTCCATGGTGAGATGGGATCTACCGTAAGCAGCTGAGTAGCTGTTTTAGGGATGTGGTCAGCTTCCTGTATATAAGAAATAGCTTTGGGAATGGTCTCTAGCTAATGGCATGCTTGAACCCTGTATGTAGCCGAGTTGTTCAGCAGCCTGCCATATTGTCCTGCCAATCTTGGACCTGCCTTGTGGTTTGGTAACATCAGGACTGTGCCTTTTCACTTGCCGACCTTGGATTTGTCAGCCTCAGCAGCCAGCAGCTGCCTGAGTGAAGAAATACCTCTAGCTTCAGTGGGCTGGGAGCCAAAGGTAGAGCTGAAGCCCAAGGTTGAGGGGCTTTCACACAACCCCTATAGCCTGGCACTTTAAACTTGGACTTAAAGCCTCCAATCTGTAAGAGAATAAACTCCTGTTTGTTAAAGCCATCTCATTTGTGATATATTTCTGTTAGAGCAGCACTGGGTGACCAAAACCAGATTTTTTTTTTTTCAAAATGCCACATTTCAAGTTGTAAATAAACAGTTCCTTCTGAGCAATTCCTACCCCAAATTATTCTAATTTAAAAATTTCATTCATTTAAAAAGCTGAATGAAATTGCTTAGGTAAATTATTAACATTTTAGACATAAAGTAAACATTGAACAATTTTTAAGTATTTCCTAATTCCCTTAAAAGAAAATTTAAAGATATGCATAATGAAACTGTCACTAGAGACATTTGTTTCATATATGCCATATGTAGCAAGAAATAGGAGGTTTTGTTCTTTGATCTTATTCTTTCTATCCCACATCCATTTCAAGGATGTTCATTTCAGAAAGAATTTATCAACTAATACTCCCTACTTTGAAAGATGTGTCTGGGATCAGATATTCTTAGGTCCAAATTTCTGCTCTTTATCCTTGATAACTATGTAACCTTATATGAGTTCCTTAGTGGTCCCTAGACTCAGTTTCCCCATTCATATTAAGGTAATAACCCATTCCTTATGGGTTTACTGTGAGAATTACATGAAGTAACAATGCAAAATGCCTAAAACAGATACCAACATGTAGTGGAGTCACTTTATTTATATTACTAACAAACAATATTTTCATGTTTTCTTGAATAGTGATTTAATTTGACATATTTGACATTTTCATAGAAATGAACATGAACAAAGCTTGAAGAGTCTAACTTCTAAATAATGAGCTGAACTTTTGGGTTTATTGTAATGTTCTATCCAGGACTCAAAATTTTATTCTCAGATGCACCAGAAACCACAAAACATCCTTTGTTAATGGAGGAAAATGTTTCTTAGGAAATAAGGTTTAACCATACAAGAGTTTATGTATTTATGTCCAGTTCTTTGATTAAAAAAAGAGGAAGAAACCTTTTTAAAGTCATAAATGTTTCTCAAATCGCTATAGAATACCAATTATGACTCTCCACTTTTTATTTTTATTACTGGCTTGAAAAAGATGACTCTCTACAATCCCTGCACCAGGAAGATATTATTCTACAAATAAGGGCCCAGCGTGACATTTATGAGAAAGCCAGGGTCCTCCTGCGCAAAGCTGATTGGTGCTCAGCCAATGGGCTCTGAGGCACTGCGCATAAAGGCACTTTCTTCACTGGGGCCACCAGACGCAGGGCGAAGGGTTGTCCCTGCCTGTGGACCTTGGGAGAATGCTGTACTAACTACACATATCTGTGGCCAGAAAAGAGAAACCGGACTCTGAAGATGAAACATTTTCTTCCCCAATTCCCTTCTGTCTTGGCCCTCTACTGCTTCTGCATGCTACAGATTACTTCCTCAGGTAAGGGGACCTCCTCACATGATCCCACTTGACCTGAGCTCCTGAAGAAGACTGTGGCAGTCTTGATCCTCCAGAATGGTTCTGGAGGAAGTCAAATTTATTCCCTCACCTACCCCTACTTTCAGTCTCACCTCCTGTCTTCCCATTTGTGTCTAACCTTTAAAAGAGGGTGGACAGTGCAAGATGCTGCAGCCTTTTACCAAAAGAGACGACTTTCCCCTGTGGGAATGAATGTCTTTAAGCAGTTGCTGCCCTAGGAGGGTCCCAGGATGTGCTGCTGAACTGAGGAGTGAGGCTTAGACCTGGTAGGAATTGAGAAACAACCCCAACTTAGCTATATGCTGTCCCGGAATTCTGAAGAGACGAGAACATGGGTGGGAATACTGAATTTAGAGTCCAGTGACTGAAAATTGAGAGGCAGTTAGCGAGGGAAAGGAGATGCGTGCACAGGGGGAAAAAAAAAAGGAATCTTTTCAAAGCCGTCTTTGTGCCTCCCGGGAGGTAGCACCCCGGACCCCGGAGAGCACAGCACAGGCCGCCGACCTTCGCGGCTTGGGCGCTGTCCGAGGTGCTGACCCGGAGCGTGACGCTGTCTCCTCACGTTCTGAGAATCAAAGCGTATATGGTGAACCTGGAGTGTGGTGAGGGGTCAGTGGTAGGAATTCATCACCACCATCTCCAGATAACTCACTATAGGACGCAGGGAAGGAAGTGGTGGCAGAACAACGAAGACTGGAAACACAGACTTTTTCAAAGTTTTAGATTTTCCATTAGAATTTTGATTTAGGAAAAGAAGAAAATCTTTGAAAATATATTTTAAACAGAGCATGTTTGTTTTTTCCTATTGGGTGGTGTACTTACTGAATGTATGCATTGCAAGTAACACTAGAGGTCACCTATTTTAACCTCACGGAATCAGGAATCCCCCCTGTGATTTCCCTGCAGAAGGTATTCCAGGCTATATGTCTACTTTCAGTGACACCCAACTCACTACCAGCATAAGACAGTGTAGCTGCATCTTCCAGGCTCCAATAGAATCTTGTTTATGTAACACTTCTGGGAATTGGTTATTAACTTTTTTTCATTTGCCAATATAGTTATATTCACTATACTTTTTTGTCCTATTTGATTGTAAGTTCCTTGTGGGTAAGATCTATAAAATATTTATCTTTTATTATCATCACTGAACCTTAGAATGAGTTTTCAAAAAATCCATGTAGTATTGATTTTAATTGCTTTGTGTTTTTGAATGTTGCCAATTCTCAGAAACTTCTTTACACTATGCTGAAATCTGTTCACATGTAACTTCTAACCACTAGCCCTAGTTCTGACCTTTGGCGATACACAGACTAAGAATAATATCTCTTACTTTCGACAGTTCTCAAAGTATTTGCAGGCACTTAGTATCCACTTCCTAATTTTTCTCTTTGCCAGAGAGCACTATGCTTAGTTTTCTTAGCTCTATGTCATATCTTGGCATTTCAAGTAGAACTATTGCATTTCAAGCTTTGGACACTGTGATTATTTGAATATCACATAATATTTCCTTAGTTTTTTCTTGGTTTGTAGAAAGCTTG